ACCTTCTAAGGCTTGAGAAAAATGTTGCTGGTAGCATCGATTTTGGAGACGATGCCGTGTGTGCGTTACCCACTAGGCACTTTGAGCTCAGGCATTTGGAAGTAGTCCTTCCTGTAGCTGACAGTTATTAGTCCTAAGGGATGCGTCCTTATGGTCAGAAATGCAGCACCAAGACATTGGCGTTTCAAGAGTCCTTATGAAAAAATCGACTGATTCAACGACATCCACAAGTGACACTATCTTCCGTAGGTCATCATAACTAGATGTTAGCGGAGTAATATCGTAGTGGTCGACCCCAGTCAACCGGGTCTGAAGATGCGAATTCGACATTCTCGAGACTGCACTGTCCCTAACAATTCCGCCAACGACGTAGTTAGGCAGGATGGACCATAAAACGCAACAATAAAACACGCCAGACCGAAGATCAAACGGGTGAAAGAGATTGTTGTGAATCAGAACTCGCGTGGTGATGAATAGGATATCCTACTTATAAAATGACTTTTACCGACGTACCGCCTGACTCGATTTTCAGTCTCAGGAACTATCGACGCATGGGATCGCATGCTGTGACGAAGCCGAAAAAAGAGGATCGACAGCTGTTGTTTGACGTCGAGGGATCCGAGGATTCGCCGCAACGTTAACATTTGGTCTGTGCACCTATGTCCAATCCAGAAATGACCTGCTTGAATCTCGTCCCGGTCACAAACACACACGACAGTTCGACCGTCGTTGTCGACGATCTTCACCGTGTGCTCCACAACAAGGTGAGGCAGGCATGGTGACTTGAGAGTGAATTATTTTGTAATGAATGTCGACTTGCACAGCGCCTACCGCACTCTCTCATCCTCCCCCACCTGGAGCCGGTGTCAAGACATAGTCAAGAAGACCGTAGACGGGGAAGGGCACACGTAGATGGCACGGTTGGGCCCGCACCTTGGCGCACCACTTCACACCCCCCGATCCACAGAGCAAATGACTAAGATTGTAATCAACAACAATGGGGAGGGCAGCAGGGGTCCCAATGTGCGCGTCTGCCGGAAACTAGATCTGTAACTGCACCCCGAGATGTTGGCATTTGTTATGATGCGCATCCCGATAAAGCCTGCAAGGATCCGATATGTCTCCTGTGTTGGTCCAGCGCATCTACCACGTGACCTTTTATGGGGGCACAGAGAGCATACCACTGACTTGACGAACAACTCAGTAGTTACCGATTGTCACCAACGTTTGAGACCTGCTCCATTGGGATCGTCACTTCAGCCAATATTCTCTGCGGTCATCTCCAGCTGACTTCGTCGCCATTCCCCGGGGCTGGAGGAGGGAATAATCGTTTCAAGATGTAGTTCGTGCCGCTTGGGCGGACAACTGTAAGGCGATTGGACTAATTAAGTTGCTGTGGTACCGCTCCGTGACCCGTGGCTGTATGATACAGCTACAGGGGCTTGTTTTGTAATTTCTGGCGAATTTATAACTCCCTTTGGAACCTTGGGCATACACCAGAAGCCATAAGGGGAAGGCCGTGGAATCTACTACTGATGAGCCAAACCACTCGCAGCTGCTTCATACTGTCGCAGACTGACGGACCTCGTTTCTCAGCTCCTAGTCAATACGCCTGTTTGGAGTATGGTATTGCGATTTCTATGTAGACTAAATATACTAATTATTGCTTGTTTGCAAACTTGAACATTTTGTGGTTATGCCTGGAGTTTATCCGCGTGGACTTATGTGTGTAGCAAAAAACGATCTCGCTACCGAAGAATATCGAAATACCAGTTTCATATACCTCCCCGGCCGGGTTAACTGATAAGTATGTGAAAGGGGACACAGGAACCCCCGAGAAGACAGATATGGTCTACTAGTCTAACTTCTGGCCTCTTAAAGGTGATTAACTGTTGAACATCCCCCAGTGAAACCTAAGTTATAAAGCAGGCTTTCCTTTGGTGAATAAGCGGCCGTGGACGCGAAGTAACAATGCGAAGGTTTACAGTCTGGCAACTCAACGTGATATGGACAGCACAGACCACCATTAAAGCGGTTCCTGTGGATCCCGACCCAAAGCAGAATCCGGGCAGTCGGGTAGCAAACCTAGACCAAGCACCTGAACGACCATCATATGTAGATTTCGACGTAAACGTAGACTCGGGCTATAGCATTCGCGAAACCGGCGCCTCCGCCAGTAGGCCGCATAACAAGTATGCAAGTGGGCCTCTTCGGGAGGGAAAAACTAACCACATGTTGCACGTTGGAACACAGGAGCTGTTCGTACGCCAGCAACGTCAATCCTAACCACAGAAACACAGATAGCCCCTCACAGGTGCATCTGCCAAACTACGAAGCTAAGGTTTCCACCTATATCTAAGTGGTGACACTGTCCCAATCGCCCTGAATAACGCGATCAAAATTTTCACTTCTATTAGGGCTGAACTTGAGCGTCTTCATAGTGATATAATCAACACCACAATGCTGAAGATGCGCAGTGAGAATCACTGTCTGAATGATAGGGGCTAGTCAATCTTGTTGCGTTAAAACAAATGGTTACTACGAACACTTGCTTCCGGTACCGCGAAATTGACTGAACGTGTGGAGAGAAGACTGTATCGAATTCCCAAGACCAGCCAGCGGCCTAATCCGTGTACCTCAAAGATCAGAGGAAGTGAAGGCGTGACGATAACGCTCGTGAAACTTTGCTGAAAGGAAAACTACCTGGCTTCTGAGGACGTAAGGCCCGACTACCAACTACGGTTAAGTCTGAAGGCGCCCTAAGGTTCAAGTCCGACTGAAACTAGCCCACCACCTAACACGGAGACCCTTGAGGAGAGCGAGACAGGAAAGCTGCGGAAGATCTGACAAAACTTGTCTTCAAAAGGAAAACGACGGCTGTTCGAAAGCATTAACTGGCCGATTGAACGGCCCTCCGACAGACATTTAAAAAGCTGAGACGGTTGCCACGGACCGGGAAGACGCCGCCACTACCCGGACACTCAGCAATTCCAAAAATACTTATGCCGTGGTACTTCCTGCCCAGTGATCTGTCGCCCTTACTGAAAGCTTTGTAAGTCTTCCTTAACCGCTTACGCTTGTACTGAGATGTATGGACAAGAATCGGTGAAGTCTTCGACCGGGGCGGAGATCCATTCATAAGTACCTCTGCCTCCGTCGAACCCTCGACCGGTAGTGCTGCCAAACAGCCCAACCGTTTCGTGAATATTGCATGTACACTTAATTCTGTTCACCAACATCCCTCGCGGTCGACCATTCTGCATGATATGCTGTCAATCACTCCGCGATAGTATATACTATCGCATACTAAGGACCAAGACCCGTGCTGGATGTAGGGGGAGTGAATTCCTTTGTTTTCACTTTCCCGCAAATTCTGTCTAACTGCGTGACAAATTGGATTCTCCAACGAGCACTCGCAGACCAGGCTTTCAAGTCCGACATCTACAGACTTCAGTGAAGATTGGTCGTGATGCCGTTAACCTGTAGTAACAACAATTGTTTCTGGACCAAACAGATGGACACGACTGTTATTCACTGACAACCCTCTACTGTGTTCCGCTCGGTAATGAAACACAAAGTGCAATATAAACACAGAGGAAGCGATAGTCGAGTATATTTAGGAGATCGAACAAAAGTTCTAAAAGTAAGGGAACACCGTTGCCTAGATGGACATGGAGAAGTGTTGAAGAACCATGCAATGGCAGGTTGCCAAAAAGGCGACTCAAGCATCAAGTGTGGTGGACAACGTTCAGAGGTCCACTGAAAGGGAATAACGACATTGATATGAGTCATGAGATGAGGACCGTATCTGAAAAATTAACGTGCAAACTGAATATTTCTGGGGGTCACATTTAGTGAGCAAGAATGCTTTTAAGGGAACGAGGTAGTAGCAACTAGCCAGAGTAATAAGCCGAATAGTTTGGTAAACAAGTTGGGCCTCGGCCCTTGGGGATAACCCTCCTAACAACTCGCACATGACACGCCTTAAACGAGCTTGGATACAAGCCCATATGAAGCAAAACTCGGCAATGAGGCCAAAAATAGCATGAATAATGCGAACCCTTTACAAGCTCTGGTTGTGCAAATAGTACAAATGTATGGTTGGAAAAAGTCGCGCTAGTAATTCTTAAAAAAGAACGAGACACCAATCCTGCAGGTGAAGTAAGGTCCTGCGTATACTATTGCTTGATCATATACGTATAAGATCAAGCAATAGTACAGGGAATAAACGTCAAAACTGCCCTCCTTTTAGCCCTATAGTGAGCGTTTTACAACGGTCCCGGTGACTAATTTGCCGCCTATACTCGTGTATACATGATGCGCTACGAGGCAGTTTTCAATGGATGCTGGTTTTATATGCGACTAGCCAGAGTTGTCGGACAGCTGTGAGCAATTTTTATGCGGGAGCTACGGCAGTCTCAGATGATGGGTAATTAGAGGGGAAATATGAGCACCACCGATAATACATACATACGTCAGACAGACCAAATAATGTATCGGCCGGTGTGGGAAAATTAAATAAGTATACAAAATGAATTACCAAAAGGGCTGCGAAACACAAGGGCAGAGCTGCGCAGAAAGGATCGATTGAGATGTAGTCGAGCCACCATCTTACATTGCGTCAGCAACCATTGGTTGAAAACTCAACAAAGGCCATGATATAGTTTCTAAACTACAAGATAATTCATGAATTATCTTCATTGAAAAATGAAATTGTAATTTAGAATTTTATTTATTTTCTAGATTATTTGAAAAAATTTGTATATTTTTATGGAATATAGTAATCAGCTGTTTCAAGGTCAGTTTACTTTTCCGGGACCAATGGTCGCTGTGTCTGCCTTGTTGTTTATTGGCTATGACTACAGATAAAGCGCGAAGAATCTTAGAGGTTGTGTTTGTTTTGCGCCTCTGTGGTCGTGGTCGTCCTCTTAGTTACTTTTTATTTGTTGGTGTCCAGCTCTATTTTCGCACTGTGAACTTCTAGTGCAAACGAGATTCCAATGGCAGTCATACCAGCGACTCAGTCGATACCCCTCAAGCGTTTTGACCGCAGGGTTCCATTTCCTATGGCACTCGGCCAGTGCCTAACCGACTGCGAGTCGAGGCCGTTCGTGATGCGCACCGGTTTCGCGTCTCACACCCTGGCACCAGGATTGGATACGCCCCAGTACACAGTAAGTGCTCCTTCTGCATTATCACTAAAATTGAAGTACCCCCCCTGCTGGTACGCCATTACACAGCTTCTGCTCCAAGAGGGCCAGTTTTACGTGGACACTTCGCCCCTGCTATACGTAGACTCTGTAAGCTCCAATTTGATTCTGACGAAGCTGATAGATTTCCGAAGACAAAGTCGATGCCCCCATGCGTGATGAGGCCTTGACTCGGCTCCGCTCACTTCATCGTGCATACTATGACTTGTCGCCGACAACATTTTGCAAAGCTGTATGCTTGACGGACACTTTCATCACAAGGGTAAAAGTCAAGCCAAAGTACATGATGTGCGTCGCAGCGGCTTGCTACTACATTGCTTCCAAGTTCGAGACGTGCAAGGTGGGTTTTCGTCTTCTCAGGTTCTAATGTGTCATTGGGCTTCTACGACCAGTCAGAAGTCTTATTGGTACTCGTCCTTTATACTGCTATCAGAGATAAAACTCGCTCTATTCCTTTTTACCTAGGCGCCTGACCAAGATCGGTTGTGAACGTTATGTGACCTAAGCACTCCAAGAAATCAATTTCTGTTAGAACATCTGTCCGATAGTGTATTACGTCAAAATCACACGCCATCTTGCGACCACTAACCTCTTGAACTTTTTTCTGGCTGCAGCAACCGCGTCCTACTCTCGATAGCCTCGTTCGTCTCTCCCATTGTGGTGGGTCAGCGTCGGATTTGGTCCGCATGGTAGACATTATCCTCACCAAGTTGGGCTCCGCCAACGTTACGGCCATTGGTGCGGCGTCATCTACAGCGCTGAATTTTCTTCAGCTCTTCCTCTATGCAGGCTCTGATCCATCCGATGTGGATCAGAATGTCTTATCCTTACCGCCCTTCCTCGTTCGGCAGCTGGAGATCGCCCTGTGCTCCACCAGCACGTCTTACTTTCGCCCTTCTTGTCTGGCTCTTGCCTTGTTGTCCTCTTTCAAACGAAATCCCCCACCCTTGGAGTTGGACGATTCTTCCGACACTGCTTTCCAGATGCTACAGCTCCTTCGATTGAGTGATTTGTACAATCTGGCAAATATCTGCAAGGTAAATTTTTGGGACCCCACCTCTTTGTTCATCACACCCGTTTCGTACGTCTCTGACGTCAATCTACTTTTGCAGGTCAGCTGGAGCGACGTCGAGGCATGTTCGTCAGCGTTGTCGGTATGCGGCGTTACGACTTACTCGGTATCGCCGAACAGATTTTCGCCTGTTTCCTCTTCCCTCATCTGGAACCTCTCCCGTCGTACCAAACTTAATTTATCAGGTTCAACCCCACCAACCCTCAACACAATCGATGAATGGACCGAAGAGGACTAGATATGCGACTGTGAGTCCGGCATTTCTGTTACGCATTGATTATTTTATTCAGTGGAGAGGTAGGATTACCTACTGATAGAAAGTTCACTGAATCGAAGACTCCTTCCCGTTTATAGCGCAGTAATGCGTTGTGCATTTGGATCCGTAATGGCGATTTAGGATCTTAGCAACAGTCTTATTCCCTTCTAGGACTCGAGGATGTTTCCGTGCGCCGGTCGCATCCTGTTTTGGGAATTTCGGCAGTTCGCTTTGGCTCATGGCACCAATTCCCCTCTAAATTTTTTCAGATCCAAGTGAAAATTGATCAAGGCAGCTTTTCCGTAGTGTGGCTTTCGGCACGCTTGCCGACTTTCGACCAAGATGTCACTTTCGTTCTTGACTCGCGTGTGATTGTACAGTCGCTTTTTTACCGTAACGAGACCCTTGTTTTTTTTACCCTGTCCCTCGAGTTTTACCTGTTCCACTCGAAAAGTTTCTGGACGTCCTGACCCCTATTCTCTCATTTCCTCGTCGATTTATTTCACCCCTCTCCCTGCCCAGTCTTACCATATCTTTCAGTCCAAAAAACGCAAAAAGCATCCTGTTACAACCGCTTGCATCCGTTTATCTCTGCCGTTGTACATCTGTCACTGTCGCCTGGTTGGGTGGCTGACCCTGTTGTCTTGTGAGGAACCCGCACCGGATGGGACTTGCGTCACATCTGGCTGGTTACGCTGCTTTCCATTTTGCATTTACTTACAAATCGTTTTTTTTTAATTCGAAAAAGCATTTACGAAGAAAAAGTGTCAAAAAACGTCTTTCATATAGGTGCAATAGAGCCTGTAATTCTCGGCCCTTCTCTTTATTTTCTCCTTGGGGGTCCATGCCTCCCCCCGCGTACCAGGGTCCTTTTGGCGAAGATGCAGTTCCCCAATGCTTGAGGCGGTTTGGGATATGCGCCGTACTCGTTTCTCGGGCTGTCCGGGGTTTTTTGGTTGCTGCTGTCCCTTGGCTGTTTTCTCCCAGTCGGTCGAGCTGACCAGCTACCGGGCTCTCGTCGTGGCTGACGAAGTCGGCTCATCTTGCATGCAGTCTCCGCTTGCACTTTGTCTTCAACCTGCTGCAGTGGCGTGACTTTGGGGGGAGTAAGTTGCTCGGCCTGTATGAGAACGCCGTTGTTGATGTGCACGAACTGCGGCCGTAGGTTCATTCCTGAGAAGAATGGTAGGCAATGGGAGCGCACCGGGCGTGAGTTTGGGTAGTTGTTAGTTGTCGTGGCTGTATCCAGCAAGCTGTCCGAATTTTTTCCCAGCCCGATATGGGGAAAGGTATCCCGACTCCCCGGGACTTGCTCGTAAGATTGGTTGCTTTGAACCTCTGTTAGAGATTTGTAGACGCGTTTCAAAGTGGAGGTCGTGCAGGGTTTTTTCTCCTATCTATAGAGTCCACCAGCCTAGGTGGCGCAAGAATCCGTAACCGACGGTGGATGGTTTGGCTCTGGTCGTCATTTGTGTACGTATAACTGAATAGGTTAGTGGATTGCCTGAATGTGCGTGGATAGTGTTGATAGACTGACTCCCTGAAAATGTTTACCAAAGTCGCGGTGAGTGCGCAGATGTCCGGCTTGACAACGAGGGGTTTGGACGCGTGACCACGGTAGTGTCAGTTTTAATCTGTTTATGGCGTTTGTGGTGCATCGCGTACCGAGGCGTCAGAGAAGCCGTGACAGGAGCGAGCGGTTGTGGTAAGGGCGTGGTCTTTTCGGCTACGACGGTGCCCTGGGACAGTTTGGACTGTCGGTAGTGGACGCAGAGTATTCCAACAAGGCCAGTCCTAGGAATACAGGTGTGGTGACAATTTCAATATTTCTGCAGGACTTGGGCACTGACATCGTTGGTCCGCGGTGTTCCAGTTTTAGGTGGTTTTAGCTGGCCTCGGAGATTGATATCACAGTTATCACTGTGGACCGTCGTGCCTGTCGGTCCCATCGAAAGGTTCCATACTTTGTTTGTTCTGAGTACGATTTCAGGGTCCGTTGTGTCGCCTGTAGTATTGACTCAGGAGAGGTGTTCGGAGGTAACTTAAGTAAAAGTGGTCAAATTCCCTCCCGCGGTTATCGTAAATTGTCCAAGGCTTCGAGCAGCGGCGGCATTAGAACGACGACTGTATACATCCTCTACTCAACTTTGAGAATGTCGCGGAGATTTAGGACTAAACATTGTAACATGTCAGAGATCTAGCTGTCCTTGCAACTGTTTCCTATTTTGACGCTCTTAGAGGTTTTGTTTTCTTTTTAGCGTTAGAAGATACCATACTAGCAGCACAAATACTAGCTAAAAGCCCAGACACGCGTGTTACGTCGAGGTTCTGTCGCATCATGGTACATCTGTGAGGGGTTCGGCTTTTCTGTAAATGACCCAGCATTACCCGTGTGCTGTCTGGCAAATACTCCAATTTAGAAGTTGTTGCTTTTTAATTTCCTCAGAAAGTAACTGCTAATTTGGGCTAGATCAGTTTATACTAAGGTCTATAAGCCTAAGTACCAGCACATCAAATTTCGGTCTGCGCCTATAGATTTTGTTTTCTATATAGGACGACTGGTACACGATGATAAGGCACTTCTCACGGCCAGCAAAAGTGTCCAGTTTATTTTACAGTTGGCGCAGTTTAGTGCATAGCCGATTGTCACCTCTAAATGTACAGATATGAAGGCGAGGGAGTCCAGGCTGCGCTACATAACCGCTTAGGCTGTGGTATTTAGTGTGCCGTCGTTGAGTAAGAGATTGCATATCCTGGACCCGAATAGTTTTTGCGGTCTGCATATGACAGGTGTTGGACAACTTCCCGTCAGTTGATACTTGAAGTCACGTCCAGGCTACGGTCTTGAGACAGCGGAATCTGTTTATCCAGAAGTTTGGCGTCACCGTATACGTCGGGTATTTAAACTTTAAGACTGCTGGACCGCCCTAATCGTCTCCTGCGAGAATGGTGACCGATCGAGATGAGCATCGAGTTCGACTGGAGGAAATGTTGATCGCATCTTCTCGTAGTGAAGATAAATGTTTTAGGACCTAATCTAACGTCTCAGAGTCTTTGATTTCTCCGGCGGCAATGTTTTTGGTAGCGGAACGGCGAGTCCTTGAGTGGGGTTCACAGACCACCCTGATGATCGCAGAGGCTCGTTTTGAAACACCTCTGAGCTTGGTATGTCGTGATGTTCGACTGGGTATTTCATGAATGCTACTTGGTTTTAGTACGTTCGGTACGTTTCGTGGTCTTCTAAGAGGATGCACTGGATTTTTCGTCCTCGGCGTGCGGATCTAAAAACTGCCCTGCCAAGGGTGTAGATTTTCTCATGGTCTGACTCAATTGTTCTTGACATCACTCCTCAAAACCCTCATCTGTTTTTTGTCCGATAAGTCCGCTCTTCCCTTATCTCAGTCTTCAATAACAGTGATCTGTTCAAGCTGTGATATGTCAAGCTCATATTTTTGTAATTTACTGCATGAAAAATAAGCTTTTCGGCTTGGCATTCGCCCCTGTATGTGCTCTGTTGACAAGGCAAAGAACGGTGGTGAGCTCACTCGTCAACAACATATCAGTAGTCAAGGCCGCTGTAGGCAGCGCACGGTGGCTTGCGTGAGGGTTGGTATGCTTCTGCATGTTCAGGCTCATTTGACCTTGTGTTGCTCCTGAACACCTGAAAGACCAAGTGTGCATGCATAGTTTTATGCAAAACCTTGTTGGCGAACACGCCTCCGTACCGATGCCTTCTATTCTCACAGAAGAGGTGATAAGCTTTGGGAGTGGGATTGGCAGTTTCATTACGCCTGTACACTAAGCTACACCAGCCTCAGAAGTGGATACTGTGTTTGTTCCATCCAACTTCCAAGATTACATGTTTTAGACGTGGCATGTGTCAGGAAAAGCCCAGTTTGTCGCGTCCCAGGCAACCTCCTCCCATTGCAGTCTTCCGGTGAGGGATTTCCATGAGGATTTGAATTAGCCGGTGGGCCTGGCCGGGGACCGTAGGACCAGCACTTATACTGTCTGTCGAAGTCTTCAGTTTACCGCACAGAGCTCCTTACTAACCAGGCTCCACATCAGGTCAGGACCGTACATAGTCCAACCATCTCTGATGACATGTAAACAGGGCGCGATCGTAGAAATGAAATCTTCAAATGAAATGACACCACAAATAAAAGTAAATATCATTTTGGGGTTTCTGGGTTCCAGTAGTTAACTTTATCCTAACGGGTTGCCCTTTAGCCTAGCTGCTGGCCACCCGGCGCGTCCACAGGTGGCTAATAGTGGAACAGCCTTCAGTGACGGTTATTTGCGAAATAAGCAGATCCAGGTCTGACGAATAAGCAGTCGCGGGCCAGCATCGACAGTGCCATCAGGGTGCGGAGGGCTGAGGCCTGGCACGCTGAAAGCCTTCTAAAAAAGCCACAAAGCCCGAGGACGGTATTGTGGCATATCAACCGTGAACCGCCATTAACTATGTTTGCTTGTCACCATTGCCTTGTGGCTGGGCCTTTAAACCAAAGCGTTAGAGGAGGCCACCTCGAACATATAATCCGAGCAGTCGTTTGGGATCCGACTGTATCCGAAATTCCCAAAAAACCTAGTGAAATGTGTCCGACTACAGTATTATGGCCCATGCCACAGCATCCGTGGAAACCGACACACTCCGCAATCCCGGTCCAGTGGTGCTGTCGAATAGCATGCAAGCTGAGCTACTCAATCGGGTACGGACTCTCAGTACTGGATGCTGGAATGTGCGAACGTTCCTGAACCCCCGTACCCAAAGTCTGAATGCGCGCACCCTTAATCAGTACAACGTGGATGTCTGCTGTCTGTCCGAAGTTCGACTTCCTGACTCAGGCTCTCGAGAAATCAAGAGCTCTGGAGTCGAATTACACTTCATCCTGTATCACAGCAACCCACGCGACTCATCTGGTGGGCACGGTGTGGCTATCGTCCTATCGCAACAAGCGGACCCCACGTTACTTGCTTAGGAACCAGTCAATGACCGATTGGCCTACGAGCGACTGAAGTGTCACTTTGCAAACATCTCCATCGTCTCTGTATACGCACCAACTTCGGCTGCCGAACAGCGCGATAAAGAGGCGTTTTACCCGCATTTGCAGGCGTTAGTTGAAAGACTCCCTCGCCGCGATCTGCTGCTTTTTTCCGGGGATTGGAATGGACCTGGCGACTCTACAAACAGTCATCTTCTTGATCGCCTTGGACTTAGTTCCCGATGTTAAAATGGTGAGAGATGACTGAACTTCGCTGATCAGGACCGACTGCTTGTCACCAACACGTGCTTTCAGCATCGCAAAAAACATTTTCTGACCTGGTATTCAAACGACGGTCGTACGGCCAGTCAGATTGACTACATACAAGTCAGCTCAAGGTTCCGCAGCTGGGTTAACGATAGCAGATCGATGCGTGGTGCCGAGACTGGTAACGCCCATGGGTCGGACCATGTCCTCGTTCGTACACGCTTGAAAGTTCACCTCGTCTGCGCCGAAAATGCCACGTCCTAGACGCCTCAATGTCGCAAAAATCCGGAAAACCAGCACCGTCGAGGTCCTGAACAGAGAAATCCGGTTCTGTTTTACGACCAAAGTCGACGGAGAAGTCAGTAACGAGTGGTCGACACTGAAAACGTCAGTCTATTGGACAGCTGAAAAAAGCCTAGGATGTACCCAACGACGTCGTAGTGAGTGGATCAACAGAAGAACCCTGTAGTTGTGTGCTCACACGGCTCGAGTCAGATCCCGTAATGATGATTCCTTACACCAACTTCGAAAGATGACAGCAAAGTCGGCCAGGGATGACCGGAAACAATATTGGGCTGAAATGTCGACCTCCATGGAACAGGCCTCGAACATTAGTGACACTCTACACTGAGTGACTCTGTTCGCGATGTGAACGGCGGCTTTATTGCTGACAACTCGGCCGAAGTCGAGTGCTGACGTGAGCACTTTGAGCACCATCTTAACTTCGATACCCAACCTACCTCGCCCTTGCTCTCCTCCTCAGCGGAGCTCCTTCCCTCTCCTACCTCTGCAGTGCCATGCGATCCCCCCTCCGAGGTAGAAGTCGCCGATGCCATACGAAAGTTGCGCAACAATAAGGCACTCAGAGAGGACGGTATACCCGCTGAAATCTGTAAGTCTTCTGTCGACACTCTGACGCCCTGGCTCCATGAGGTGATTGAACAAGCGTGGAGAAACGAGGTTACTCCTGATTATTGGGGCTCGGACACCCTCGTGCTCATCCTCAAGAAGGGACACAAGGCATGATGCGAGAACTTCCGCGGCATAAGCCTCATCGACGTTGCTGCAAAGATCTTTGTTATTGTCCTACTCAGGCGATCTCAGGCTGTGCGTGACTCTAGGGTGAGGCCCAACCAAGCCGGATTTCGTGCTGGACGTGGATGCGCGGACCAGGTATTCACACGAAGGCTCATTCTCGTATTTCGCCGCAGCTGCCAGCAACCAACGGTCGTCCGCTTTTTTGACTTTGGCGCCGTGTTCGATTCCGTTCATCGTGAGTCCCTGTGGCGGATAATGGCACTAGATGGTCTACCGCCAAAAATCATCAGCATAATCAAGGCCTATTATCGCTCCACCAGCGCACGAGTCCTGGTCCACAGCAGTCTTTCCTAACCGTTTGGTATTCGGTCCGGCGCTCTACAGTGTTGTACCCTGTCACCCATTCTGTTCAACCACGCTATTGGCTGGATTCTCGGGAGGGCCCTACAAGAGGGTGACGGTGTTGAATTTGCACCCAGACACCGACTGACTAATCTCGACTATGCCAAGGATATCGCCCTACTTGCTTCAAGTTTTTGTGATCTGCAGTCTATGGTGTCACGGGCGAACGAGGCCGCTAAATCAGTCGGTTTATCCACAAACGCTGGGAAGACTAAAGTGTTTTCCAGCTGCATCCCTGGCCAGGAAAAAGCACCTCTCGGGATTGATGGCTGTCAATTCGAAGAAATAGAGTTTTAAATACCTTGGGTGAGGCTGCTGCCGACTGGACAGAGTAAGGACGACATTGTCTTCCGAAATGACGTTGTCCGACGGGTTTTCTCAAGCCTAAGAAAATGCCTATGGGTCTGACGCGACCTCTCCATCACCACTAAGATTCGCGTGTACCGTGCGTCTGTTCGGTCTGTCCTTCTTTACGGTTATGCGCGTGGAGGTGTGCGCTTGGAGGACGAGCGAAAACTGGAGATATTTGACCACCACTACTTAAGGACCATTCTTCGAGTGAAGTACGCCGACTTCGTCCCAAATGAGACCGTATGCGCTCGCTGCGACAACATCGCATGGATAACCCAGGCCATCCAAAAGGCGACTGAGGTGGTTTGGACATGTTCTTCGTTGTCCGCCTTAGGAGCCCAGTGTTACTGCCCTCGATCCGGCACTGTTACCCCATTGGAGGTGCCGAAGAGGAGGTCAAATCAAAACCTGGCTCGACACAGTTTGTCAAGAAATGGAGGTGGTTCCTGGGCTTTTGGCATTTGGTCTCTGTCGTTAGAATGGGTTGAACTGTTCAGATCTGCTGCCGCGGATCTTTACGCGTGGGGAGGTACAGTTCGGGACATCATCGAGGCCGGCTAGATCAGGCATGATCGTAGCCGTACCAAGTACAAGTAGGTACAAGTAATTGTGCCGCCAAAAAGGCGGGATTCGAACAAAATGTAATATTTTTGTCATTTACAACCCGTCGTCAGTACCCGCGTCCCCTGGGGTTTTACTATTAGGTGAATGAATGACCAATGCGCAAAACGTTGGCAGTGGCAAACATCAACCCTCTCCGTTACTAGGGTTGTTTTCGTTTAGGTCCCTAAGATCAGGAAATCGTCGTCGGAGGTTTCATAAATACCTGCTTAACGCTAATCCGCCCAGAGTTTTTTATGCCAGATCACTCTGTGCAAGGTATTCTGGGCTGACAGTCATGTCTGATTTCAGTGACTAGGTTCCCATGCATTTTCGTTTATCACTACCATTGATAATGCCCACTAATATGGGCACGCCTACCAAATTTTAAAACATTGCCGATACTACCGATACCATCAGCACTGCGGACTCGATTTCGACCATCGCAATAGCACTTCCTCTTCACTCACTCGCCTGATCGGTCACTCGTGATTCCAGCAAAGTGGGACCGGCGAAACAGTGTCTGTAGCCCAGACATATATAGTTCGACCAACGTTGCCGAGGACATCCACCGTGTGCTCCGCAGCAAGGTGAGAGCAGGGACAGTGACTTGTGTGTAATTTAGTTTATAGTGAATGGAGACTTGCACAGCATCTACCTCACTCCCTCCTCCCCCGGCTAGACCCCGTGTCAAGACAGAGTCAAAAAGACCGGAGACGGGGAGGGCGCAAGTTGATGGCACGGTCGAGCACGCACGCTGGTGTTCCACTCTACACCCCCTCGTCCACACAAAATTAGCTAGATTTTTGATTCACAACAACAATTGGGGAGCGACGTCCCAGTGTGTGAATCCCCGAGCTGGCGGTTACCATTTAGCTTGTATATATGCACGATTGTGGCGTCTTTGAAATCCTGCGGAACTTCTCCTTGACGCAACATCTCCTGGAAGAGCGAAGTCAGGTGATCCATTAGTTGTGGGTCACCATGCTTGTAGATCTCAGCAGGGATCGCGTCCGATTCGGGCGCTTTCCCGCTGCAGAGCTGCTGCACGACCCTAATGGCTTCGTGAAGAGAGGACGGGAGGTCGAGGTCCACGTTGGTCTCCACTTGAGGCGGACGGGCGATGTCGGCATAGGAGATGGTGGAAGGACGATTGAGGACGTCTCGGAAGTGCTCGGTCCAGCGTTGTGGAATTAGTGTCTTCTCAGTCAGGAGGGTTCTGCCGTCGGAGCTGAGGAGAGCAGCAGTGACTTTGGTCGGCGGACCGTAGACAGTTTGATAGCGGAGAAGAAGTTCTTCCATTCGTTGCGGTCCGCGTATCCTTGGATCTCCTCAGCCTTGCGAACCGCCCAGACGTCCTGCATCTCGCGCAGTCGCTGTTGAACGAGGTGTCGACTGCGTTGGAAGGCAGGTCTGTTGTCGACGGTGGAGCGGTCGACGTAGGCTTTGTGTAGGCCGTCCAGCTCGACGAGCAGGATGCTGATGGCGGCGTCGTTGTCGTCGAACCAGTATTAGTGTTGGCGGCGTGCGCGACCGAGGACGGCCAACACCGTCGACTGAACTGTGTCTCGCAGTTGACGCCATCGGTCCTCCACGGAGGCGTTCACGACCGCGGCGGCAGCGACTGCAAGGTTGTCTAGCTGTTTAGCTAGCTCGTTGCTGAAATGGAGATGGTGAGCTGACAAAGACAACAATGCAATATTCAGCCTACCTGGGGGTCGCTTACCTTGAGGACTCCTTCGAGGCTGTAGGCGAATTCGCGTCCTGGAGATGAAGAGACGATGGTCTGTCCCCCCGTCGGCATCCCACAATCATCTTTATCATCAGCACATCCCACTGGTCTCGTCTCCGGACGAGAACATAGTCCAGAAGCTGCTTATGTCGCGACCGAGGATACATCCAGGTGGTCTTCTCTCGCACCGGCAGACAGAAGACGCTGTTCGTCAGGATGAGCTGGTGTTATACGCAGGTGCAGAGAAGGAGTAGGCCACTGTCATTGGAGTTACCGAGACCATGGGGACCTATCACTCCTCTCCAGGCAGTACGTTCTGTGCGACGCGGACGTTGAAGTCACCAAGGACAATCAACTTATCCATCTTCGGCACAGACGCCACGAGGGCATGCAGGTCCTCATAGAATTTGTTCCTTGCAGCGTCGGGACTGGTCATCGAGGGAACGTAGACACTGACGATGATGGTGAATTTGCCTTCCCGGAGAGGCAGGTGGAGGCTCATCAGGCGATCGTTGATACCCCGCGACAGACAGGGCAGTTGTCCTACGATGTCATTCCGGATGACGAAGGCGACACCCGCGTCCCGTCGCTCTGCCCTAGGGCGACCGCTCTAGAGAAGGCTGTAGCCGACACCAACCTCCTCCTGTTGGCCTTGTTCGGAGAAGCGGGTCTAGCTGGGTGCGACGATGTCCACCTTGTAGCGCGCCAGTTCCCGAGCCAATAGCGCCGTCCTCCGTTCCGGTCGGTTCCTCCTTAGATTGTCTAAAGAGGAGCGCATATTGCAGGCTGCCAGGGTGAGTGGACCCACCCTACCAGTCTGGCGCATGGGGTGGCGGGAATGAGGGGGAGACGAAGATGAGGAAGGAGAAGAGGAAGAAGAAGATGGAGAGAGAGTGTTGTTGTTGTTGTTGTTATTGTTTAGATTTTGGCTCTTTCAACCGTGAGTTTACCGTCTGCGACCACGGTCAGCCTGCAGCCGGCCTAGTTCCCCAGCGATCCCTAGGGAACCTTTTCTTGCCCCTCCCTTGTGAGCAGCAGCGCCTCCCTTAATAAGGCCGCCCGGTTGTGCCGGCGCGGCCGAACTCCACTATGGGCCACGAATTTTGTTGTGTTAGAAGAATGACCCGAATTTGCCAAAAGCTTACGACATCGCCGCCAGCTCGCGGCCCCCTGCGGTGCACCAGACGGAGCCTTGTCTCAGCAGAGCTCGCGCTATCGTGTGCGCGGGCACATCGCGCACTCGGGTATCCTAGCCTGGTTTAGCCCACCGGTCGAGGCGGTTGCCGGGGTGTGGCCGCTGGGTAGAGCCCAGATTCGGGGAGCCACATGTGAGATTTAAGTGCCCGCAAATGGACACTAGGCGTAATCTGCACCCGCAAGCAAGTAAACGACCTACTACGACCATCACGTGAACCCACCGCTGGACACCCCTACACCCCCCCCCCACACACACGACAATTTGACTGTCGCGTCCGACTATCTCCCCCTCATGCCCCACAGCAGGGTGGGAGCAGGGACGGTGACTTGTGCGAGAATTAAGTTTATAGTCACCTTCTTCAAGATTACTTCCTGGGACTCGTCTCTTCGAGTCTATTGGTTTATAGTGTTGGGCCAGCGCACCTACCACATGGCCCTTTTGGGGCTGCGCACATACACACTCTAAGCCACAATTTCTCTCCTCTGTCAATCAAATGATAGCAAGTTACTAAGGAATAGGGACGGGTAGACGCAACAATTAAGGCTTACTCGGAGGGAAACGAAGGCGGTTGGAAAAGGACGGCGGCGGCGGCGGCGGCGGCGGCGGCGGACAATAGTGGCTATGTGCCCTATCGAAAAGATAGCGTATATGCAAAGACGCTTCCACACACACAGCACTAGCCCTTCAGGGTCACACCAGTGGAGTGCACGCGTCTCAGTTTCGCAGCGGGCCTGTGGGAAAATGCGATTAGGACTTGCGCCCGTGCCAGCGCGCAGACTGGTGCCGTCCCTCAATCTGGGCACGGAGGAAGGCGAGGAGACAACCGAAAAAATGTGGCATATTTTGAGGCTCAAACCCTGCTTTGTTTTCCACGGTCAGTCGCTGAAAGTAAGCATTCCAACAGGGAGGACACTTGGCGCATCTGCACTGATATTCTAATTTTCGAACCAAACTCAACTCTCTGTTGGTGTGGCCAGGACCATTAGGTAGATTTTTTGACGCAGTATCTTAGCGTATGGGTGAAATAAAACACCCAGAAAAGTTGGGGCCACTTCTGTAACTACTTACAGTTGTATACTGCACCCCATTAAAACGTCAAAAAACAGATATCTGGGAGGTTGGCCTGAACTTACTCTGAACACTTTTTAGGGGTCGAAGTTTCTGACATTTGCCATTCGTGCTGTGCACCGGTAATGACTGAGTGTAAGCCCCGGCGAGACAGTAAGTTTGGACTTTAATGCACCTCTAGAGCCCATCAGTTTCGGTGTATTTGTATGCTCCGTGGGTGCGACTATGACCAGAGGTATTTGGGCAAAAATTGGTCTTCTAGGTTCAAAACTCAAGTACGTAGCTCATAATTAATTCCAGGGCTGTGACCTTGGCTGCACATTTTGTTTGTTTACGAGCACTTCTTCTCCTGTATATGAAACGATTTCGAGATATTCACTGATTGACTTCGCACCCAATGAACGAAATTCTGAATGAGTGTGACCGTTTTTTTCGGGCTTATTTTACCATTTTGAACTAGACCAACCCTGTTCCGGTGGACGTTGTCTTTGGATCGCAGTTACTGTTTGCTAAGCTGATGACGTCCCCCAAGCTGAGAGTGACTGTAAAAGTAAGGTATAGACAGACCTTAGAGGGGGATGTGTAGTCTTAGGAAACGCACACCTACCTTTCCTCTGCCGCTCTTTCGTGGTATGTTCTGAAAAAGCTGACATTACTTATGACGTCATAGTTGACAGAGCGAGAGAGCCCCACGGAAGGCGCGAAATTTATCACCAATGTCGGCGCTTTTTGTTCAGCACAGGACTTGAATTATCCCGGCCGACCAGTCTCGTCATACCCACATACTGTCAGTGCGTCAAAAAACTTTAAGCATTCTGCACGGTGTCCCTAACCTTCGTGGTATATCACAAACCGCACGTTTAAATGAGTAAATAAATTGTTTTATTTAGCATCCATAAGGTTACCTTCCTGGCAGGTATAAATACAATTTTACTTTGACTTTATAGCGGGTAGGCCAATACCGTACGGTGTTCAGTTTGTGTTCATAAAATAGGTAGCCTGATATGAAAAACGATTGGTGACAGAGGAAAAAATTCCCTCAAATTTGGTAAAAAAGGAAAAAAATGAGTGT